GGCGGCGGAGAAGACGCAGGAGGGGCCAGGAGGAGGAGGAGGAGGACGACGACGACTCACTTCTCGGAGATCGGAGGGCACCGGGTAGTTCAGGACGTTCGCGTGTACGTGGGAAGGGGCCCCGTCTGGGTGTCAAACCGTCTGGAACTTGTGGGGCTGGAACCCTTCTTCCCCGACTCCTTTTCCCCCTTCGGGGTGTCTCTCGGTTTCGTCTTGCCGTAGCCCGGCACCGAGGGGAACCGAGGCTGTTTTGGAAGTTAACTCCAAGGAGGAATGACTCAGCCCGGGCGCCCTGGTGCCCTCCCGCCCACAGGGCTTTGTTATGGCAAGGAGCGACTTGGTCGGAGGCCGGCTGCGGTTGTTTTCCTTCCTTCCCTGAACTCTACAAGTTTGGAAGTCATGGGTTTCTGTAGGGATGGGCGAGGCGAAAGTTTCCATCGGAACTTTCCCGCTCTCCTTCATTGCTTTGGCATAGAAAGCCAGAAGTAAATGGCTTCTCTCTGTGTTGCCAACTTTTGTGTCCTGCGCCTGGATCATTTTGCCTGACTTGGATTTTGTCTTGAGGGTTTGGTTTGGTGTAGTCGTGACTAAAGCTCATCATGAGGTGGTGTACACACCCTTTACTGTGCTGTGTAATCTGGAGATCTCACCTTTGCTGCTTTGTTGGTGTTGATGAAATATCCGATTTCTGAAGCCCTGCTCATATGTAACCATATGGATACTATAATGGATGTTTGGTGAGATTGAAAACCCATTGATAATTAAAAAACAGTATAATAAAAGAGTGGTTCAAGACCTTGCTAATGTAGTTGTGTTTAACTTAATGACACCTATCTAAGGTAAAATATGACTTGCTTTGAGGATGTATCAGTTGAATTGGTCATTGTAAGTTGGCCTGTGATAGGCAGTTTCATTGATGTTATGAACTTGAAGAAATAAAATGCATAAGTAACCTTCCAGGGAAAGGTTCAAACTCAGTAGTATTTATCTGACCATGAGGGGTAGTTTAATGGTTTTATTGTAGACTGCTCAGATGTGTGACACTGCCATTGCAAACCCTATTTGCTATTTCCTTTCTGTCATTAATTTTCAGCTTTTCCAGTACATGTAGGCCTTTATCAAAAGCTGTTCCAATATGAAAGGAAAACCTTCCCAATCCGTAGGGAGTTAAGTTTACTTTTCTGAAACAGTGGGTGATGCAGTCTTGCTCCAGTGAATTCTGTGGAGGCTGATTTCATATATTGGCAGGTATTTAGATTCCTTTTAACAATGAATATAGTTTATTTAATTTGTATTTAATGGTGGTAAGTTAGGTGAATAATAATGACATGGATTTGTATATTTTGTATTATTTTGGTCTAACAAACATCTTGTTTACCAGCGAGTGTTTATTATTTTTTTCTGTATATACAGTATTAAAATCTAAATTAACTTATAGAGTGTTTTGGTAGCAAAAAAAGAGAAGAGGCTGAACTTGTTACTGTTACATGAAGTATTTCATGACATAGTTACTGTTTAATATAATATAGGCCAATAAATAGTAATAATACAGTAATTATACACTGTCAGGTCAACTCAGACTTATGGTGACTCTTTTCAGTGTTTTCTAGATATACTAGAGTACTCAGAAGTGGTTTACCATCCCCTTAGAATTGGTTTACCATCCCCTTCTTCTAGGGGTGTTTCTGGGACTTTGCAGCTTGTCCAAGACTATACAGGGTGGTAAACCAGGGGACTTTGCAGCTTGTCCAAGACTATACAGGTTGGCTCTCCTCCTAGTATGTGGAGTGGGGAACTGAACTTCCAGCCTGTAGCTTTGTAGCTAGACACTTAACTTACTGAGACAGCCAGATAGCCTGGACTGTAGCTAGACAACTTACTGAGACAGCCAGATAGCCTGGACCAATATATAGCAGTTGCATAACTGATTGTCACTGTAGTTGTAGATGTGTTAACAGGTATCTAGGACAAGGGAAGCACTGAATGAATTCTCACTATATACATGAGTGTTTTTGTGGGGCCATGCAATGGAAAATGGCATGATTGTTACAGTAGTATAGTTGGTATGATACATGAACATGCTACAATATTATTTATTCTTTATTTAAAATATTTTAGTCCACCTTTCTCCTAAAAAGGACCCAAGGTGGCCTACATAATTAAAAAGAAAATATTTGAAAACTAAAACAGTAAGTGGTATGAATATTAAAAAATAATATTTATTTAAACATATTAAAATATTAGATAAAAACAATACTAAAACTGATGTAAAACAACAAAAACAGAAACCATCACATTTTAGAACCCCTCTTAGACAGCCACTCATTAAGGGAAAGCCTGTCTGTGGGAAAGATCTTCACCTGCTTGCAGAACCACAGAAAACATGGGGGCAAGTTTGGGAGGGAGTTCTAGATAAGGTGGATAACAGTCAAGAATTTTTAAAAATCAAATTGATTTAGATGAAAAAACAGACAAACAATTGTTCCTGGAAACAGATCAGCAGCCACTGGAGTGCTCTTTTAACAGGAGGGCTAATGTGATCCCTGTAACCAGACCCAGTTAACAGTCTGGCTGCAGCATTTTGGACCTGCTGAAGTTTCTGAATATTTTTCCAAAGGCAGACCCACATAGAGTCTGTTACAGTTTTCCAGCCAGGATGTAACTAAGGCATGTGTCACTGTGGCCAGATTATATCTCTCCAGGGATGACTGTAGCTGGTACACTAGTTTTGACTGCAAAAATGCACATTTGGCTATCATCAAAATCCAGGAGCACACAACCAAGCTGCACACTTGTGTTTTCTGTGGGAGTGTAAACCCAGCCAGCAATTCCTATTGTCTTTCAGCTGACCAGAAGCAACTCTGTCTTGTCTGGATTAAGATTGAGTTTATACACCCTCATCCAGTCCATTACTGACACCAGACACTGATTTAGAATCAAAAGAGCTTCCTCAGATTTAGATGGAAAAGAGGGACAGAATTGGGTGTCCACATACTGGGGACACTGAACTCCCAAACACACATACACAGTCCAGTTCCTGGCATAGGTTGTCCGTTAAGGTGATCAAACCAGTGTCCATCTCTGGAAAACCGTTTCCAGCAGTTACATGTATGTGTTAAATAGCATAGGGTACAAAACAGAACCCTAAGTTATCTCACAGACCAATCCTCTAGCCTCACATTCTGAGTTCTCCCTTCCAGGAAATGAACAGAGCCACTATAAAACAGTGCCTTCAAGTCCTATCTCAGAAAGATGGACCAGAAAGATATTATGGCTGATAGTATCAAAAGTGGCTGAGAGGTCCAGCCCCATCTCATTCCAGAATTTCCAAGCTGAGAAGTAAGGCCCCACCTTTCCCAAGAATGGAACATTAGGGACTTATTCCTGCTTGTTGTTGTTTAGTTGTTAAGTCGTGTCCGACTCTTAATGACCCAATGGACTAGAGCACACCGGGCCCTCCTGTCTTCCACTGCTTCCCAAAGTTTGGTCAAATTCATACTGGTAGCTTCAGTGCCACTGTCCAACCATCTCGTCCTCTGTCGTCACCTTCACCTCTTGCTTTCACACTTTCATGTCAGGGTCTTTCCCAGGGAGTCTTCTCTTTCCCATCTCATTCCAGAATTTCCCAAGCTGAGAAGCGAGGCCCCACCTTTCCCAAAAATGGAACATTAGGGACTTATTCCTGCTTGTTGTTGTTTAGTTGTTAAGTCGTGTCCGACTCTTAATGACCCAATGGACTAGAGCACACCGGGCCCTCCTGTCTTCCACTGCTTCCCAAAGTTTGGTCAAATTCATACTGGTAGCTTCAGTGCCACTGTCCAACCATCTCGTCCTCTGTCGTCACCTTCACCTCTTGCTTTCACACTTTCATGTCAGGGTCTTTCCCAGGGAGTCTTCTCTTTTCATGAGATGGCCAAAGTATTGGAGCCTCAGCTTCAGGATTTATCCTTCCAGTGAGCATTCAGG